GGCTGACGTGGAACGAAGGGCTGATGTACCAGTCGGTTGGCAACAGTAGGTGTGCGGTGACGGGTGTGATCATGTGACTGATTTGGAATGGTCCACAGTAGCGTGGTCGTAATTTTGGTACGTCGGGCAGTCGCAGATTTTGCGTGTCGAGTAGCACGTAATCTCCAGATTGATACGTGACGGGGCGGCGGTGGCGATCAGCGTTGCGCTTAGCGATGACGTTGGCCTTTTTTATTGCTTCGGCGGCTCTGGCGCGGGCAGCTTGCAGGATTTCGGCGAATTGTTGTGCGCGTGGCGTTGGGTTGTCCGGACTCGGCGTCATGGGCACTGTGGGGTTCTGCCCATAGTTCAGGTAGAACGGGGACTGCTGCGTCGTGGCTGATGTGGCGTTGTTGTACGCGAACTCGATCAGCGGCAGCTGCTGCTCCCAGGTCGTGGGGTCGTCGCACGTGGCACGAATCAACTGCTCCATCGTCTGATTCGTCCGCTCCGTTTGGCCGTCGGTCTCGGGGTGGTACGACGAACTGAACTGTAGCCTGGTCCCGAACTGCTCCCAGAGGTTCTTCCAGAAGTTGCTGGTAAATTTCGTGTCCCTGTCGCTGATAATTGCTGCTGGTATCCCGTGCAGGCGAACAACGGCTGCGATGAACAGGCGAGCGGTCTCCTCGGCTGAGATCGACTTTTTGCACGCAGCGAAGTGTGCCATCTTCGTCAGCCTATCCACGACGACCATCACCGCATCGTTACCCCCAGGGTTCGAAGGTAACCCTGTGACGAAGTCCATGGTTACTTGCTGCCAGGCGCGTTCGGGCGGTGGGATCGGCTGCAATTGACCCGCCTTCCGCTTCCTTGAACTCTTCATCACCTGACACGTCGGGCACGAGCCCACGTGCTGCTGTACGTCGGTCAACAGCTCCGGCCAGTAATAGTACCGCTGCAGTTGCTGTCGCGTTTTTTCTACCCCGAAATGTCCCGAGGTAATCCCGTCGTGTGCCTCCTGTAGTAGCAGCTCCCTCAGTAGTGAGTACGCGGGTACCCAAATGCGGTTGGTGCCTGCTTTTACGTAATAGACTCCTTTTGCTTCTGCCAGTTGCTGTGAATTTCCGGTCGTGAAAAATGGGTCGGTGCGGTATCCGTGGGTGAATAGGCCAGTTAAAAGCGGGTTGGTCTGGGCGAGTAGGATGGCATGGAGTTGGGCGGTGGGGCGGGTGAGAGCGTCGGCGATGTTGGATGCACCCTTTTTGTACGTAACGGTGTAGTGAAAATTGGACTCGAGATAGTCCAACCAGCGAATCTGTCGTGGGTTGAGATTCGGTTGGGCGCGAAGATACTGTAGTGAGCGGTGGTCTGTCCGTACTGTCACGTCGGCGCCAGTCAGGTAACATCGCCAAACTTTGAACGCGTGCACGATCGCTAGCATCTCGCGGTCGTGTATTGGGTAGTTACGTTCGGGCGGGTGTAGTTTGCGGGACTCGTACGCGATTGGCTGGAGGCCGTTCCCGAAGTCCTGCAACAGTACTGCTCCCACAGCGATGTCACTTGCGTCGGTGACGAGCTCGAACGGACGGTGGGGATCTGCAATGTGAAGGACGGGCGGGGAGCACAAAATATTTTTGAGGGCCGAGAAGGCAGCTTGCTCTTTCTCCCCCCACGTGTACTCAACCCCCTTCCTCAGCAGGTCAGTCAACGGGGCAGTCAGCTTCGCCATGTCGGGGACGAACCGGCGCACGTAGTTGACGAACCCCAGGAAACTCTGCAACTCGGTCAAGTTGGTCGGCGCGTGCCAAGCCTGAATCGTCGCAATTTTCTTCGGGTCTATTTCCACTCCTGCAGCTGAAATAACATGTCCCAAAAACTCCAGGCGGTCCTGTAAAAACTCACACTTAGATGCTTTGGTCAGTAGGCGGTTCTCACTCAGGATTTTAAAAACTGCTTCGATGTCTTGTAAGTGTTGTGCTCTGTCAGGGCTGTAAATCAGTATGTCGTCCAGATAAACGATGACGCACTTATCTAAAAGCGGGCGGAATGCTTCGTTCATGGTCATGTGGAAAGTGGCGGGGGCGTTGGTCAGTCCGAATGGCATGACGGTGTATTCGAAGGATCCGTAGCGTGTTCGGAATGCGGTTTTAGGGCAGTCGGGTGGGTTGACGCGGATTTGGTGGTAGCCTCCTCGGAGGTCGATTTTCGAGAAAACCCGGGCTGTGCGCAGTTGGTCGATCAGTTCGTCGGCTCGTGGGATGGGGTAACGGGATTTGATGGTAACCCTGTTCAGTGCCCTGTAGTCGATGCACATGCGAAAACCCCCGTCCTTTTTCGGTGTGAACAGTATTGGTGCGGCGAAGGGCGACGAACTAGGGCGAATGAATTCCTTTTCGAGCAGGTAATCGAGCTGCTTCCTTAGTTTGTCTAGTTCGGGTTGGGTCAGTCGGAACTGTCGCTGTACTGTTGGCTGTGCCCCCGGTTCCAGTTCTATCCTGTGATCGTGCAGTCGCTGAGGTGGCAGTCCCGTCGGTAAGTCATCCGGGAAAATGTCACTGTACCGTTTTAACAGTGCCGCCAGGTCACTCGGTACGTCGGTCAGCAGTTTCTGTAAATCTCCCCCCTTGTCTGCTGCCTCGGCTTCCCGAATGTCAACCGCGTACACGTCAGCTCCGGCCGCAACAGCGCGTTTCATCGTGATCGCGTTGACACGCACCGACGAAGACTCAGGCGAGCCCCAGCGAGGTAAGGCGATGTTGTTACCGTTTACTCGCACGGTGCAGTCACCCGTCGTCCAGTCAATTCGCGGATTGTGTCGTCGCAGCCAATCACGCCCGAGTAAAATGTCGGTTCCGTCGAGGGTCGTTGCGAGCATTTCCTGACTAAACGTGAAGTTACCCCCGCATCGAATCCGAACTCGGTCTACGCGTTCCCGTATTGCCAGCGGCGTGCCGTCTACCAGTCGTGCGTCGATCTCAGGTAAGCATCGGTCCAGTGGCAGTCGCAGTTTGCGTGCGGTAGCAGTGTTAATGAGGCTGTGGCTGGCTCCCCCGTCTACGAAGATTTTAACTAAGTCCGTCCCAATTTTCCCACTGAGCAGTATAGGGCTATCTACCGTGGTACCCTCCTTATTCGGCCGGGTGTGGTCGATTGCGTGAACCGGCACAATCACTCGGTGAGGGTCGGTTGGGTCGGGCGAGCGGCGTGACCTGTCAGTAGAGGGCCCGTCTGCTACTGACTTCCAGCGTTTCCCTGCTGCTTGGTCTGTGTCTGCTGCTCAGCTTCCCCCTTTCCCTTAGCGTTTTCCGGGCATTCGCTCTTGCGATGTCCCGGCGGATTGCACGCAAAGCAGCGCCCTTTGAACGGTGCGGCAGCGGCATTTGCGGCGACGGCGCGTATCGTGGCGCTCTCGTTCGTCCCGCGATGCCGATGTCCCCAGGTGTTGTTTCCGTAGGACCCCGGTCTCGGTCGGCGAAAGAAGTCGAGCTTCTCCGCCATAGCGAGAATTTCCTGAAACTCAGTGACGCCGCGAAGCTGGATTTCCTGAGCGATGTCCTGCTTCAGGCCGCCGATGTAGCGGTCGATGCGTTCGCTCTCATGCATGTAGCCCACCTGCTCGCATAGCGCCAGAAACCCGCTCGTGTAATCCTGGACGGAACCGAGTTGGCGCCAAGTGCGGAGCTTCTGTCGCGCCGAGATCGAGGCCGCGATTGGCTCAAATCGAGCGCGCAGACCTGCACACCACGCGTCCCACGTGCGATACTGGGGCACCTCCACGAAATACGACGGCGCCCAGGGTCCGGTTTGTCCTTCCCGTGTCGGTAGTGTCGCGTAGTCGGTCGGCTTCGTGACGATGACGCGCCACCAGTCCATGGCGGGTCCTCGCAGCAACGACACGGCGTATCGAATCTTCGCCGAGTCCTCCGAGACGTAGTTGGCGTCGAAGAAAACATTCATTGTGAATAACCACGCCTGAACGGTAGGACCACCCCGTTGACTCGGGTCAAAGCATGGCGGGCGCTGCGGCTTTAGCGGCATCGGTGACGGCAGTCCCGAATCGTGGGTTGGTGCCGAAATCGTGACGCGAGGCTGACTTGGGGCCGCAGGCGTCGCTCTGGGGTGTGTCGTGCCGTGGTCGTCGTCTCCGTCGGGGCGGACGACGCCATCACTGGCCGCGCTCGCGGGTTGCCCCACACTCCCGTGTTGTGATGTTGAGGGTGCGGGTTGAATCGGAGTGCCAGGTGCTTGAGATTGTGCTCTCAGGAGGTCATTTTGCAGTGATGAGCGTTCTGCCGTCAATGCCGCGATTTCCTCGGAGCTTTCGTGCAGTTGTCGCAGCAGATCGTTCAAACGCTCCTGCGTGAGAGTGGTGACGTCGATGTTTTCGGCCATGACGAAGGGCGTCGGCTCGTCTTAGTCTAGGCGCAGTCGTGGCTGCACGCGTTTACGAGAGAACGCGAGGACAGCGGCTCCTAGGGGCTAAGGTGCGTGAGTCCCTTCGAGTGAAAAATCAAAAGTTGATTTCCTGGTGTGCGGAGATGCGCGGTCCGAAAGAAAGGGGCTCTGATAACCAAGTGTTACGGGTGCAATGAATCGAGGTAGCGAGAATTGCACTAAGGTGTCAAACGAGTACAAAATGTGAGCGAAGGCATGAGCGAACATTTATACGCGAAACATGCAAAACGGTAACGCGGTGCGTGCGAGCTTGCTAGTGCTACGCTGGAGCGAGGCTAGGGCTAGTCCCGAAGCGTAGGCCGATACGGCCATGCCAGCAGTGCGAGGTTTGGTAAAACAGTGCGCGCGAAGTCGGCGAAGTTCCGTTAGCAGTAACGGGCGAACAATCGGCTGTTGCTGTACGCGATGTAGTCGGCTCCGTAAGGAATGCCGAGAAAATTCCTTACACTACCCCCCGCCATCCACCTCCAATTTCGTGTCCAAAGAAACGCAGTCACCAACTTGCACATGGTTGCAAGCAGTTTTGACATTTGTTGTCATATTACGTCACACCATTGGTTCCCATTATGCGGCAGCCCACAGGCGGCAAGGCGCCGGAAAGCGCAGACGACGGGGGAAACGGATCCGTTGGCGGGACTACACAGGAGCATGGATTTGGCGCAGCTGCGCGCGCAGCGCAGGTGCAGGCAGACGAGCACGCGGAGTTGCAGCGGCTTCAGCGGCAACTGGCTCCACGTGCGGGAAGCGTGCCAATACAGGGGTACCTGCTTAAGCGATCTGAGACTGTAAGGAGGCTGGGAAGGGAGGGGAGGTGTGGAGCGGGAGAGGGGGAAGAGGGAGGAGGGAGTTGTTGACGATGTAGCGTGGGGAGATCGGTGCTCGTGACGGGATAGACAGGGAAAGGCTGAGTGGAGAGGGTAACGGGAAGATAATAAGGGGAGGAGTTACGGGCGAGAAGGCAGATTCAGATGGTTGGGACGAGGTGACATGTTCGCTTGACGCCTTTCTCTGAGGAGCACGGGACTGCTTAGGTATTGACGATGATTTGGGAGAAGTTACTTTTCATTATTGACAATTTTCAAGTCAACTGAGTTTTGAAGGTTTTTGGAGTCGAGTGTTTTCTTCCTCTTCCTCTTGCAATTTCTGTGCGCAGCAGAAGCAGCACCCACAGCAGCCTCTGTGACAGAGACCAGCTGTGTCTTACACACACTTGAGCTGTCTTGACCGCGCTCTTGGCCCATCACATCACCCCTTCTCTTCCCTCTCGGCCCCTTCTTTTGTCCCTGCTTCCATTGGTGGCCACACCTGTTTTATTTCTGGCATGGCTGTATCATCCCCCACTCACTCCCCATCCGTCCGTATCTCTTGCAGCTGCACCTTTGGAACCAGCGATGGTTCGTGCTAGATCCGCTGACAGCGCGTATGGAGTACAGGTGCGTCTTATATCGAGTACAGGTGGATCTTATCGAGTGCACTGGGTGGTTCTATATGTGGTACATACATGGTGGTATTGTTCCGGCTACAGGGTGCGTCTTATACTGAATATACAGGTAGCTCTTCATAGGTACAGGTGGATCTTAATACTATCGTGTACTGGGTGTACATGCGATTCACGACACATCAAGGTCTTACTGGCTCTATAAACCAACAGACAGATGGAAGAGACGTGAAGATTAGATTCATAAGGTGGTTGAGCGCGAGGGAAAGGGGGGGGAGACAGGAAGGGAGTAGAGAGAGACGAGGGTTGCGGAGGGAGGGGGGAAAGGGAAAGGGGGAAGGAGGGTGATAAACGGGAGTGAGAGATGGACAAGGTGCGTGAGAGAACGCAGGATAGGGGAAGATTGTGGGAGCGCGGTCGGGGATTGTGCTCGTTACGTTGTTCCTTGCTCCAGTGCTCACTGTTAGGCCCATCCGCATGTTGTCTGGTGCTTGCTCGTGTGCGGTGCGGTGGGTGCAGGATTCAGCGCAGTGACGTCCATGCACGCGGAATCATTCACTTTGAGGCAGACAGCACCATCACTGTGTCGCCCATCAACCTGCAGTAAGTGCTGCTGCTCATGGAATGTCCATGTGCATGCATCCATGTGCATGCATCCATGTGCATGCATCCATGTGCATGCATCCATATGCATACATCCATGTGCATACATCCGTGTGCATACATCCGTGTGCAAACATCCATGTGCATGCATACATCCGTGTGCAAACATCCATGTGCATGCATGCATCCGTGTGCAAACATCCGTGTGCATGCATGTGACCTGTGCTCCTTCTCCAAATCAGAGTCAATTCACCTCCGTACCTGTTCGCCCTTATCTGGGAATTTCGAGCACCTCTGTGACTTTTTAGGCGTCCCGGACTCCCAGAAGTATTGGAGCTCCTCGGTCTGTTCTTGCGGGGAGATAGTAATGAGGACGGAGGGCACGAAGGTGTGCGTGTATGCTTTTGTGTTAATGTGTGTGCCTGTTCTTGTGCGATTGTGTGTCCCCATGTGCCTCTATTCGTGTGCAGTGGGGCCAAGCAGTACGAGAACTGCTGCTTCTGTAAGTCAGTCCCACCACCTCGCATCCTCTCACGCATTCCTCCTCGTTTTCCTTTCCTTTTCTCGTTTTCTCGCAAACACACATGGCCGAAACGTGCCGGTTCCTTCTGAGACAAACATCTGGGTGAATGTTTCGACTGTTGGGCTAGTTGCTCTTTAGAAACCTCTGACTGGCTGAGTCCTTGTATGAACCATCATAAGGTGGCCGCAACTGCGTGACTCTTCTCGGTACGTCACATCTTCGTGGCAAGTGGCAAGTGGCATTTGAGAGGTCATTCGTGCAGTGCACGGGTCGAGCATAGTGTCATGTCAGAATTCTCTCGAGGCTTCTCAGGGTGGCTGTCGGGCATGTGGTCAGAAGGGACTTTTGAGTCGACTCAAAAGTCACCTCATGGTGCACGGGTCTAGCATAGTGTCATGTCATGTCATGTCAGAATTCTCTCGAGGCGTCTCATATCAGGGTGGTTGTTGGGCATGTGGTCAGAAGGCCAGTTATGCATGCCATGCCGCCAGAACACAGCACACACACACGTGGCTTTAAACACACAGCGGCAGCAGACAATACTGGTCTGGTACCGGACCTGAGAAATCCCTCAAGTATCCAGCCTGGTTCATCCACATGTCAGCCAGATCCCGGCCGGCCGCGTGCAAACCCAGGGCAGCGTGGTGTGGCAATCTGTGTCTGTGTTCTTCACTAGCTCTTCTTCTCTCTACCTACCTACTTGTTGCCTTCATCACCATCACCCTCACCCTCCTCCCGTTGCCCCGCCTCTTCCCATTTACACCCCCACCCCAACCCGCCCCTCTCCCTCCCTCCCCTGCCCATCCATGTCTCCTGGTGTGCTGTGCTGTGCTGTTCTGCGCATCAGATGTGGGCACGGCGGGCAAGAAGGAGTACTTTCTGTGCGCTGAGACGCCTGGTGCCGCCAGGGCGTGGGTCTCCACTCTGCGGTATGTATGGGTGCAGTGCGTTGGATGCATGTACTGTGCGGTATGGGAGTGGTGTGCAGTCTGTGTGCAGAGCAGAGTTGTCTTACAGATTACATGAAAAGAGTTATTGTATGCACGGCAGTTAAGAAGGAGTACTAGGCATGAGGATTTATCGTATCCTCGTCAAGCCATTCCTTTCAGCAGTCAACACTAGGCAAGCAGCCACGTGTGCATGCATCCTCCCTGCCTCACATCATCCCTACCCATGCCCCTCCTTCCATCCCCCGCCTTCCATGCCCGCCCCTCAACGCCCCGTCCTCTCTTGCCGGTGCCTGTGCTGCTCCTCCCAGTGCATGTGCACTGGTGCTCAAGGCACACCGGGAGGAGGTCAACGCACTCGGCTCCTCCTCCACTCCCCGTGCCACAGGTGCCTTCCGCTCGCACTGCTCGCACTGCTCGTACTGCTCGTAATGCTTGTATTGCTTGCTTTCCTCCTGCATTCCTTGGCATCGCATGTGCACTATGGTCCTGCAAGGAAGGCTGCCCTTCCATCCCTCCACGTCCACGTATATCCTTGCACTAGGAAGGTGTTGGTTATTCCCCCGCCTTGCTCCTGGCCTGGATTTCCGGCTTATTAACCTGTCCCAGTCAACCTCCCCTCTCTCCCCTTCCTCTCTCACCCCCCCCTCCTCTCCCAACCACACCACACCACACGACCCCCTCTCCCCCCTCTCCACCCCCGCCTCCGCTTCTTCTCCCCCCCCCCCCCCCCCCCCCCCCCGTGTTGCTTGAGCAGGCGCAGTGGCAGCTGCGACGGCAGCAGCCAATGAAACGGCACGCAAGGCAGCACCAGAGGTAGCAGCGGCGAATCAGAAGACAGTTCAGGCGAACGCGGCAACAGCAGGGATACTCTCCTCCCTCCCCCTCTTCGCACCACCACCCCAGCCCTCGCCCCCCTCTTACACACGCAACCCCTCTCTCGATTCCCAGCCCGCTGCATCGTCCCCCACCATGCTCCCTTCCTCCTTAGCTGCCTCGCGCTCTCTCCCCTCATCCTCTGCTGCCTCTGCCTCTTCCTCTTCCTCCCCCACCTCCGCACTGCTTCCATCATCTCATTCTGCGACCGCTGCCTCTTCCCAAGCAAGGCAGAAGGACCAGGAGATCAAAACGCAGCAGCAGCAGCAGCAGCAGCAGCAGTCAAGAGCAGGAGCAGTAGCACCATCCGCTGATGCTGCAGCTGCAGCAGAGCTGGTCAAGGTAAGGGTGGCGAGAAAGGGAGGGAGCAGTGGTCAGAAACAGGCAGGCAGGGATCACCTCTGATTGCTGATAGGACTCGAAGATCCCTCGCACAGACTATCAGAGCTTGGGGGAGCTTGGGGGAGCTTGGGGGGGCTTGAGGGGGCTTGGGGGAGCTTGGGGGGGCTTGGGGGAGCTTGGGGGAGCTTGTGGGAGCTTGAGGGGGCTTGAGGGGGCTTGGGGGAGCTTGGGGGGGCTTGGGGGAGCTTGGGGGGGCTTGCAGGGGCTTGGGGGGGTTTGGGGGGGGCAGGCAAGATGGCAGCAGATGCCAGCCAGGTTTCAGGAGACTTGTGAGTTGTAGCTGGCGAGCTGAAGCTGGCCTTGCCTTTCGTGGCTCCTTGGGGCTGTGAGAAGTGAATTGGGGGGTGCAGGAGGCAAACTCTCCCACTCTTCCTGTCGAAGGCCACCTTCCTTCTGCTCACTTCATCATCATTTCTCGCCCACCACTCCGTTGCTGCTTCCTTCTCCCGCAATGTGCTTCTTTCGAGTTTCCCACCCCCTCCCCCTCCGGTTGCTGCATCTCACATCCCCATGGGCACCTCATGTTAGTCTCCAACCCCCGTGCACACCACAAGGCTGGTCGATCGCAGGATGCAGCAGTACCCATCCTAAGTAAACCCTTTCTCCCCCCTCAACCACCCCCTCCCCACTGCCCTGCTCTGCACCCTTCCTCCCGGCCCTCCCCCAACGTGCCTGCCCCTATCCCTCTCAAATGTCAATTGCCCTTTGCCTGTGAGACCATTTGGTCGCAGGATGCAGAGATGAGGCAGCTGTGGGGGGTGGGAAGAAGGATATTCAATGCACTCTCATCCCAAGTGAACCCCTTTTGCCCGCCCCCCCACCCTCCCGTTACCCGCTCTCTCCCTCTCGGCCCTCCCCCCCACAACGTGCCTTGGCCCCCTCCCAACTGCCAACTGCCCTTGTTGCCTCTCAGGCCATTCAGTCACAAGATGCAGAGATGAGGCACCTTTGGGGCAAAGGGAAAGAGAGAATGATTTAGTGCACATCTGGTTCCTATCCCTAGTAATCTCCTCCCCTTCTTTCCCCCCCCCGCCCTGCTCTCATCTGCCATCTGCCCTTGTTGCGTGGCAGACCATTCGGTCACAGGATGCAGAGATGAGGCAGCTGTGGGGCATCGTGAGGGAGAGAGACAGCACCATCCAGGAGCTCGCTGCTCGCCTGGAGGTGCGTGGGGGCTGGGGCCAAAAGAGGGGTTGGGTTGGATGGATGGGGGAAGGGAAAAAGAGGGAAGGTTGGCGAGAGAGAGGAGAGGGGGAGAGGGTGGGGGATGAGAATTGGAGAAGAGAGAGGGAGAGGGGTGGAAGAATGGCTGTGGATTGAAGGGATTGTGCAATTGCTGGAAATGTTTTGAAGGTGTCACTTGAGGAAGATTTTAAGCAGCATTAGGTGAGCAGGCAGCGTGGGTTTGCTCTGTTTTTCCTTCTCATGGCATCTCTGGCAGCACCTGCTTCCACACTTCCTCCCTTCCTCGTTTCTCCCTTCTCCCATCTCTGTTGCTCCCCTTAAACCCTCTGATCTCCCCCTCCCCTCTCCGTCCCCTCCCTAACCACAGGAGGTAGCAGCGGCAGCAGACGCAGCAGCAGACGCAGCGACGACAGCAACGAAGGAGCGGGACGCACTGAAGCACTCTGTGAGCAAGCTATGCGCGGACATGGAGGGACGGTTCAGTGAGACAGAAAAGCAGATGGCAGCTGCAGTGGGGGCGAAAGTGGCCGCTCAGGAGAGGCTGAAGGTGCAGCTGGCACGGGCTGATGCTGCAGAGGAGAAGGCAGAGAGGCTGGCGAGGGAGGTTGAGGAGATGAGGGAGGCGATGAGGAAGATGAAAGAGGAGGTTGCTGCTAGTGCTGCTGCTGCTGCTGCTGCTGCTGCTGGTGCTGGTGGTGCTGCTTCTGGTGGTGCGTCTGGTGGTGTTGCTGGTGCAGGTGGAGCAGGAGGAGAAGGGAGTGCGGAGGAGGAGTTGGCGAAGGAGAGAGCGAGGGCAGAGAGTGAGAGAGAGAGGGCGGAGAGGGAAGCAGAGAGGGCGGAGAGGGAAGCAGAGAGGGCGGAGAGGGAAGCAGAGAGGGCGGAGAGGGAGCGGGAGAGGGCGGATCGGGAGAGAGTGAGGGCGGAGGGGGCGGAGGCAGCAAGGGAGGATGCGGTGAGGGTGGCAGTGCTGTGGAAGGGCGAGGCGGACAAGTGGCAGATGGAGGCTGCAAGGTGAGGCGATTAGGGGGGAAGGGCTGATGGGATGGGAGTAATACACCCAAGGAAGACAGCAGGAGCAGCATGAGGAGACGCGGGCAAGGGGGGTGCTTTGGGTGGAACAATCTGAGCCTCTGCTGTCTGGCATCTTCTCGCCTTTCTTGTCTCTACAATGGATCTTTGACTTGGAAATATTCAGCCTTCATTATGGTCATAACACTCACGCACGCCTCCCTTTCTTCCCTTTCCCCCTACTGCATCCCCCACCTCATTCCGTTCATCCCCTCTCGATCTCCTCCCCACCAGGATGGCTCAAGCAGCGCATCTGCAGCAGCTGGTGCCGCTCATTGCTCCCTCTGCGCCCACGCACCCCTCTGCTCCGCCCTACTCATCCTTGTCCGCGCCCTCCTCTCACACCTCTTCCAACGTTTCATCGCACCAGACTGCTCTAACTGGGACCCAGGAGCAGCAGGGGCAGCAGCAGCAGCAGCAGCAGGAGCAGGAGCAGGAGCAGGAGCAGCAGCAGCAGCAGCAACAACAACAACAACAACTACAGCTGTGGCAGCAACAGCAGCAGCAGCAGCAGCAGCAGCAGCAGCAGCAGCAGGAACATCAGGAACAGAAGCAGCAGCAGCAGCAGCAGCAGCAGCAGGAGGAGGAGGCGGCGGAGGAAGCAGCAGTAGAAGCGAGTGACATAGACATGGACCCGTTGCAGCAGCGGCTGCAAGCCTTGCTCTCATTCGCACCCCAAGACTCCTCCTCCTCCTTCCCCTCAGATCATTCCTCTGCGCCTGGGGATGACGATAACCCCCAGGAGCTCAATACAGACTCCTCTGCTCCGCATGCATGGGATTCCCACACCACTCACACCACCCATACCTTCATGGGTACACATGACGTCACTCCATACATGTCGTCATCCTCTCCCTACAATGGTGGTGATATGCAGGTCCCCTCTCCTGACTCGCTCTTTACAGCTACAGATGCCACAGCAGCAGCGGGTGCAGGCGGGGGTGCTGTTGCTGGTGTAGGTGTTGGTGCTGCTGCTGGTGCTGCTGCTGGTGCTGGTGTAGGTGCTGCTGTTGCTGGTGCTGCTGCTGGTGCTGGTGAGGGCCCTGCAGATGCTGCTGCCGGTGGTGGTGCCTCTGTTGGTGTTTATCCCAGCAACGCGCCACTGATTACCCACCCATTTCCTGCTGCCTCCTCATATCCCTCTGACTTTCCTGCGACCCACCACATGCCCAGCACCTTTTCCCCCTCCCAGGCACAGTTCCCTGGTGAAACAGCACCATTGGCAGCACAAGTCGCGGAAGTGTCAGCGCCAGAAGGTGCAGCATCATTGCCAGCAGCAGCAGGATCGAGTTCAGCAGCAGAATCAGTGGGAGCTATTCTTGCACCAGCTGCACAAGATGCATCATCAGTTCTACCTGCAGCAGCTGCGCCTACAGAAGCAGGGACAGCAGCAGCAGCAGCAGCAGCAGCAACAGCTGCGGCTGCTGCAGCTACAGCAATTTCAGCCCCCCTGATTGGAGGAGCAGCACTGCCTGCAGCCCACTCGGGAGCAGCCACTACAAGCTCGCCAGACCCCGTTGCGTCCCTGCCATTATCACCATCGCCTGAAATTTTACAGTCTCCAGGCCCCACTTCCGTCGCTCATGGCGCTGATGGCACAGGCATTTCTTCAGGTGCTGGTAGTGTGCCAACTGGGGTAGTTGAGGCGGGTCTGTGGAAGAATGGAGCTGGTGATGCGAATGACGGAGCATCTGGAGGTGCTTAATTTTCTGATGTAATTTGGGAGTCGGCAACATACCTTACTAGCTTGTTGCAGCTTCCGGTATTTTTTTTACCCGCGTGTTACTTTTTGCGGGTTTGTTAAGGGGTTGTTCAAGGGTGGTTTACCCTAAACAGTGCCCCCAACCTCATCCCAACCTTATTTTTGTCCAACTTTTCTTGCCTTCTACTTTCTAGTCCCACGAATTACTTTACGACATTCACCGTTGCATGCTATATCAACCTTGCTTGTACTTGCCAATATCAACCAATTATCATTCAACTAGTACTCAGTTACGTCTTCACCTATTTCGTCAACACTTCTTTCGCCAAAGACTTACGCTGAATTTTATCATCGACTTAGTCGACCCCGCTATTCTTTAGCGGATTCAGGCCAAGGGGCCTAACACTTGGTATCAGAGCCTTCGCGGGGAGCAAGTTCCATCAAGCGACCGTCGACGACGAGACTACGACGTCATCGTCCCGCGGTGCCGACTTGCAGATTTGGAGTTGTTGAGCCGACATTGATGAAACCATGTGTTACAATATGAAATCATATGAGAAGGCATTCCTATATGTTGCAGGAGCCAACTCTACCGAGTATGAATTCGAGGAGTATGAATTCGAGGAGTCAGAAGAGTCGAAGCTACGCAGCAACAGTCTGACCAAGACCGATGCAGGCAGAAACGTTTGAAATGAAAAGAGCGAGAACAGGTTCAAAACAGGTTCCCGCGCCGCACGGTTTGAATTCGCTCCAATAAGGGAATGTACCCCTTAGAGTACATGGCTAGCCTAGGTCTTTTCGTATTCCCATGTATTCTTATATAAACCTGATGTATGCATGCTATTATCAATCTCAGTCATTTACATTCACTCTGACCTGAGTTCACTACTTCCGCTGCAACACTACACTGCGATCAATACTGAGCGATCCTTCGCTAAGTCCCACTTGGGATTGTAACATGGTATGAGAGCTACTTAGGGATTCTTCGCAACTTGACTTCCGTGAAATTCGTCAAACCAAGATCTGGCGAGCGGACACGCTCCAAGACCAAGATGGCCGGAGGATCCGGAGGCCAAGCGAATCTGACGGCCGAAGGACAAACCAACCCGGCTACGACAAATGAGGCGACAACCACGATAAGCAATGCCGCATTCGAGCAGTTATTTTCGCGACTATCGACTATGGAGAAAGATCTCTAAGAACTGCGCAAAGGCGATGTAGGAACATCTTCCCGACCAGCTCAACCTGGACAACCGGCTGCGAAAAACCGCGACACCGCCGCGCACACCTTCTCCCTCGACACAGACAAATCAACAACTATGCCCCCTGTGAAATTTAGAAGAGAGAAGGGGGACTGCACTAGCAAGAATGACGATACAAATAGCAAACCCTAGAAGGGTTGTACTCGCTATAGAGCACCCCACTACAGGCTAGAGCATAACATAACATTCTGACACACCCCCATAGCCAAAGTGGGGTGTAATCAGCAGAGCAAGCAAAGCAGTATAAGCTCAGGGTGGATCCCAATGTCACCACACATTCTGAGCACAAGTTCAAAAAGCAATAGTTTAAAGTTCACAATTATGAGCAAAGCTAGTGGTAGTCACAACGGGCAAGTGAGGAGGAGGAGAGAGAGTGAGAGGAGAGGAGATAGGAGGCGACGGCTGAAGCTGCAGACACACGGGCAACAGGAGGCACACTAGCACAGCGGCTACCGGAACAACGCTCCGGACTACTCGAGTAACTGGCCCCGCGGCTAAAGTAGCGGCAGACGAGCAACGGACCCACGGGCGACTGGCACAGGTGGCTACGACTGGGCTACCAGAGCAACTCCCTGGACTACAGGTGCTGCTGGCGACACGACGGCAACCTCCATTCAGCTTCCCAAACAGTCCCACCCCCTTTGACACACACCCGCTGCTACACCCCTAGCTCCATTCCCCCTTCACCCCCCCTTAGTACCACTCCACCGGCTCCATCAAGTCCACCCCCCCTCAGCGGCAGCTGCAACACAGGGAGACAGAGGAGGAGGAGGAGCAGGGAATGGCACACAGTGGGTTCACCCCCATACCCCTCACCCCCAAACCCTAATTCTGGAGAATGGGGAGTAGGAGGGGTGGGGCGCCAGTAGAAGCACGGGGGACAGCGGGGAGGGCAGGGGCAGCGAGGAAAGGGCCGCCCACGGGCGTGGCACAGCCGCCCGAGCCGCGCGCAGGCAGCCTGAGCCACGCGCGGGCCTGGCGCCGCCCGTACGGGCCGCGCGCGGGCCTGGCGCAGCCCGTACGGGCCGCGTGCGGGCCTGGCGCAGCCCGTACGGGCCGCGCGCGGGCCTGGCGCAGCACGTACTGGCCGAGGCCGGGCCTGGCGCAGCCCGTACGGGCCGCGCGCTGCCTGTACGGGACGCGCGCCGGCCACGACGGGCGACGGGGGGCGACGAGCGGGTCCCCGTCGCCCGTCGCGGCGCCTCCCAAGGGCGTCGCGCCGAATGACGGGGCAGAAGCCCGCCGCGCGCCTCGGGGCGCACAGCGGGCAGAGAACCGCCGCGCGCCTCGGGGCGCACGGCAGGAAGAAAAACCGCCGCACGCCACGGGGCGTGCGGCACAGAGAGTAGCAGGAGCAGTTGCAGCGGGAGCAACGAGGTGGTGAGCCCACCCACAGGATCGATCCAAGGGGATCGACCTGCTCTGATAGCATGTTAAAGTTTAGAAGAGAGAAGGGGGACTGCACTAGCAAGAATGAGTTTACAAATAGCAAACCCTAGAAGGGTTGTACTCGCTATAGAGCACCCCACTACAGGCTAGAGCATAAGATAACATTCTGACACCCCCCGTCCAAGTGATGCAGTTATCAACTCTGCGCAGGCATGCTTCCTCCGCGTTTCAAAAATCAAGACTACTGCCGCATTTGACGGCAATGATTTCTATACATGGAGTTTTGAGCTTGAGCTCCTCCTACAGACAGCGCAAATCTACCACTACTTCAAAGGCTCCTAATCTAAACCGGTGGAAGACACCGACGTCGCCAAGGCTCAGTACTACAGCGAGTCCCTCATGGCGTACAGTGTGCTGCTACGAAACATGACGCCTGCGGAACAACTCAGCATCCGCTCCTACAAAGGGAGCGGCTGATCCAGCCTTGGAAGCCTGGAAGCCCCTCGTTAAGGTATATCAACCGAAGGATTTGGTCACCGCCAAAGATGGGGCACGAAGAGAAAGCGAACTCTTATATTATCCGCTGTCGGAACATCCGTGACCAAATCACGAAGCATGGGAGCGCAAACTCGGACGAGATCTTCGTCAATATAGTCCTCCAAGGACTCGGGCCAGAGTGGAAGCTCTGCAAAGCGCTACTCCGACAACAAGGAATTATCTCTGAAGCCGCGCTATGCGCCGCCCTCCTGACTGAACAGCAGGACATGGACTCGAGTAGAACGAGCTCCGCGCCGCGCCGAGAGCGCCTCGCCTTCTACGCAGACAACCGTGAAGAGCAACGACAACCAAGGCGCCACTATTGCAAAATATGCAAAGTCTTTGGACACTCAACGGATTTATGCATATCCCAATCCAACTATCGCCACCCGAATTCCACTCAACACAACAACTGGGTCGGCCGACAAGACGCTCGTCATTCTCAGCCTCAACAGCAGACCTCTCGTCTCCCTGCAAAACATCAACAACAGCACTCTCAAGGACCTCAATCAGGAGCTCCTAGGAACATCATCGCGAACATGGCGACGCGGCGTCATCGAACTGCTGAACCAGATGAAGAGGACGAACTTCAAGGAGGGCTCCTTCAACAAGGGGAAGGATGGAATAATCCCCTCACTGAAAACCACTACTATCAGTATGACGAAGACGAGCAAGATTGGCATCTGCCAATAACACTGCGGGAAAGCCCGCCACATGACCATCAGCGCTACGTATTTGTGGGATGGAAAGAAAGACGAAGATCCATTCTTCCACAGACGCTACAAGGCGACACTTGTGGCGCCGCGACTCGCGCTACTCCTGCGCAACAACAATACCGACAACTACAACACCTGGTACCTGGACAGCTGTTGCGGACAGCAAATGGTGGGATCCGTTCGATTCGTCTCGAACCTCAGCTGCGCCCCCGCTACCTACGTCACCGTCGCTAACAATGAGCAACTGCGCGCCAATGCACAAGCCATCGTGGTCCTGCAAGCACGAGACAGCAACACTCACATCTCGTTCAACAACATGCTTTACGTCCCGGACCTTCGTTTTAACTTACTTTCAGCAGGACAACTCCGAGACTGCAGAGTAATGCTCGCAACGGACCTGGACGCACGGGACCTCATCCTCGCCTTCGCTCCTCCGAACACATCCCCTGAGTCACACAAATACCTCGGACGAGCTCGCTCAATCAACGTCATCTACGTTCTGGACTTCAACATACTGAGCTGTCAAGCCTCATCAGCCGAGCTTGTGGACCTTATCCCCTTTGACTTCCCTTTCATGAACCAAGAGTCATGGCAGCATCCAGACGGACGGACGTGGATTCGCCGCAGCCCTCACCCGAGTGAGATCAACTTGCACGAGTCCGACATCAACGGTCTCTGCACCACTTGTCATACACCCACAGCAAGCCGCACTGAACAAGTGGAGAGAGACTATGCGGCCATTCAAGAGGCGCCACCTTGCCGCCCTGCCTTGCAGGCCGCGTGCGGGCCTGCCCTACACCCGCGCAGCCGCCCCTGGACCCCGCGATGCGTCGCCCTGCTCGTCGCGACGCCTCTGCGGGACCCGGGCGCCGCCCCTGCCTCGTCGCGACGCCCCTGCGGGACCCGCGCGTCGCCCCCGCCTCGTCGCGACGCCCCTACGGGACCCGCGAGGCGCGGCTCCTGCGCATCGCGCCGCCCCAACGGGACCCAGGCGTCGCCCCCGCTCGTCGCGACGCGCCTACGGGACCCGCGCGGCGTCGCAACTGCCCGCCGCGGCGCCCTACCCTACCCCGCGCCCGCCCTTTCACGGCCGCCCCTGCCCCGCCCTGCAGTAGCTGCCGTCGCGGCCCTGCCCCACTCTACAGTAGCAGCCGTTGCAGACTGCCCCGCCCTGCAGCAATTGCCGTCGCGGACTGCCCCACCCTGCAGCAGCGGCCGTCGCGGCCCTGTCCCTGTCCTGCACCAGCTGCCGTCGCGGACCGGCCCCACCCTGCAGCAACTGCCGCGGAGCTCCCTGCCGCAGTCGCGGCCCCGCCGTGCCGCTGTAGCGGCCCCGCCGTCGCCGCCGTCGTGCGCCTGCTCTTCCCTCCACTGGTGAGCACTGCCTGCTACCGCTACTTCTGCTGCTACTGCTGTTACTACTGTTACTACTACTACTGCTGCTACTACTGCTACTCCTGCTGCTACTGCTACTACTGCTGCTCCTGGCATGGCTAGGTGCAGCTCCAGAGCCGTCCGCGTGAGTCCCTCACGCCCCAGCAGCTTTGTGAGTGGTACGCTAGTTGGGGTTGTCGGCGTGGCCGTAGTGGGAGTCGCCCTGGAGTGGGTAGTTCGAGAGCTTCTGGTAGTGGCCAGGTGCAGCTGGAGCGTCGTCCGCACGAGGCTCTTTCACCCCAGCAGCTTCGTGAGTGGTACGCGCAGAGTAGAGGGTAGCTGACTACTGCTCGCTGCCCGTACGTCATTCGCACGGGTGTCCGGACTGGTCAGCCTTGCGGGACGGTTAGTCACACAGAGTCCCGCTGCTTCGCCCGTCTGAGCGACGCTTGGCGCACAGAGTTTGGCGACGACGCTGAGCTCCCCGACTGGGTGGAGCTGCTTAGGCAGAGGGTAGATATCTTTGCTCTTGACTATGATGCTATCCTCACTGCCATCTATGCATTGTCTATTAGTGCTGAGGGTGCCTGTCACCTGTGTGTGCCGCCTGACCCCGGTATCCAGTCTGCTCCTCTAGGTGCTGGTGAGTCTGCTGCTCTAGGTGCTGGTGCGTCTCCTGCTCCAGGTGTTGGTGAGGCTGCTGCTCTAGGCGCTGGTGAGTCTACTTCTCTAGGTGGTGGTGAGTTTGCTCTCTCTGGTGCTGCGCCTGCTGCGGTCTTGCACACCTTCACCCTTGACTCGGGTGCTTCCCACTCCTTCTTTCGAGACCGCACCACACTCACGCCGCTTAGTCGGCCGGTTGCAGTCTCCGTGGTTGACCCCTCTGGGGGTCCTGTCCTTGCCCACTACTCCACTGTCCTACCGTGTCCGGCGGCCTCGTCTGGCTCCCTGTCAGGTCTTTACCTACCCTCGTTCTCTACGAACTTGGTGAGTGGTGCTGACCTGCAGGATGGGGGTGTTGACCAGTTCACTTCTGCGAGTGAACGAGTGACCCACTGCACGTGTGCTCGGACGGGCCGACACTTGGCCACGTTTACCCATCAGCCGGGGTTGAGCCTCTACACACTGACTACCGAGTCTCCTCCTGTTACTGTGTTTGGTCAAGTAGCTGCGTCGGGTCAGGTGTTTGCTGCAGTGTCCAAGTCTGGTCCTGAGTCTACCCCCTGCTCATTGCGTCTCCTGTCTCACCACACTCTCCTCTTGCACCACCGCCTTGGTCACCCCTCCCTGCCTCATCTTCGAAGCATGGCCTCCCGTGCCCTTGTCTCTGGTCTCCCCCGATCCCTCCCTCCCCTTCCCCCGGGGCCTGCCCCTACCTGTGTCCCCTGCGTTGAGGGGCGGCAGCGCGCCGCCCCTCACTCCTCTGAGTTTCCTCCGACAGAGGCTCCGCTGCAGACTCTCCACATGGACGTGTGGGGCCGAGTCCGCGTCCGTGGACAGGGTCACGAGCGTTACTTCCTGCTGGTGGTTGACGACTACTCAAGTTACACCACAGTCTTCCCCTTGCGCCGCAAGGGTGAGGTCACTAAGGTGTTGATCGACTGGATCCGCGCTGCCCGTCTCCAGCTCAGAGAGAGTTTCGACTCGGACTTTCCTGTTCGGCGTCTGCACTCCGACAGAGGTGGAGAGTTTTCCTCCCACCTTCTGCGAGCCTTCTGTCGTGCGGAGGGCATCCGCCAGACGTTCACGCTTCCGGCCTCTCCGCAGCAAAATGGGATTGCTGAGCGCCGCATTGGCATGGTCATGGACGTCGCTCGTACGTCCATGATCCATGCGGCTGCTCCCCATTTTCTGTGGCCGTTCGCGGTTCAGTACGCGGCGCATCAGATCAACCTTCAGCCCCGGGTCTCCATGCCGGAGACCTCCCTTGCTCTGCGGTGGAAGGGAAAGGTTGGCGATGCGTGTGCGTTTCGTGTCTGGGGATCTCGAGCTTTCGTCTGCGACTTGTCTTCGGACAAGCTGTCCTCCCGTGCTGTTCCCTGCGTCTTCCTTAGCTTCCCCTCTGACGCGCATGGTTGGCAGTTTTACCACCCCACCTCGCGCCGTGTTCTGTCCTCTCAGGACGTCACATTTGACGAGTCGGTTCCCTACTACCGTCTCTGTTACAATACTAAGTTAACTAGAGTACGAGTTTAACTAAGGGGCCTAGGCTTAGTAGCCTAGGCCAAACGGGTGTCGAGTTGTTTGTGCCAAGGAGAATTGAGAATGGTTGTTGGTTCACTATAGCACACGAGTACATATAGCAACCTAATAAAGATGAAAGAGGTGCACCACCATACAAGGGAATTACACAGCAGCTACACTACAGGAAGATTATACTAAAAAGATATAAATCTATTGTGACACACCCCTATCTGCCTGAAGTGCATAACCATGTGCAGAGCCCCCCTTGAAGGGGTACACCTGTAAAACCCCATTACAGGGCATGGGAACACCAGCAAGGGGCCCCCTCTAAAGCTGACAAGCAGCAACCACCAAGCAGCATCTGAACCACCACGGTGGAACAGGTGCCCGGATGCGGTTGAACATCCCGCAGCTGGTGCACGGTGTGCGAGGAGCACAGGTACGGGTAGCGGGTTCGGGTAGCAACTAGGTGCTGTACGGGACGGGCCGCACGGGGGTGACGGTCAGCACGAGACCGGGCAGCACAGACTGGGTGGGGCACGAGCGAGAACTGACAGCACGGGTGGGGCACAAACGGGTACGGACAGCACGGGTAGGGCACAAACGAGCAGAACGGGGCAGCACGGGCAGAACAGGGCAGGACACGGGCTGAACGGGGCAACACGGGCAGAGCGGGGCAGGACACGGGCTGAACGGGGCAGGACACGGGCTGAACGGGGCAACACGGGCAGAGCGGGGCAGGACACGGGCTGAACGGGGCAACACGGGGACAACGGGGCAGCACAGGCAGAACGGGACAGGACAAGGACTGAACGGGGCAACACGGCACGGAAACGGGCACGACACAGGCAGAACGGGGCAGCACGGGGGCAGCATGGGAACACGGGGGCAGCACGGGAACACGGGGACAGCACGGGAACACGGGGACAGCACGGGAGCAGCACGGGAACACGGGGGGCAGTACGGGAGCACGGGGGCAGCACAGGAGCACGAGGGCAGCACGGGAAGCACGGGACGCACGGGTGAAATGGGTGGGGCACAACCGGGTATGGACAGCACGGGTGAAACAGGTGGGGCACAACCGGGTACGGACAGCACAGGCACGTGGAACACGGCGGACAGCACGGGCATGGGCACGGGGCAAACACGGGGAACTCGGGGCAGACAGCGCGGGCACGCGCACGGGGCAAGCACGGGGAAGTACGGGCAATACGGGAGGTACGGGGCAGGGGATGAGAGGAGGAGGCGGCTGATGCTGCATATGAACTCTCACCACCCACACCACCTTAACCTTTCCCCCCACAGCAGCATTGACGGAGAAAGAGAGGTGGAGGTGTAGTGGCGGTAGGTGCTACAGCTTAATCACCCACCCACACCCCCTGATCCAGCAGTGGCGGAGAGAGAGAGGGGGAGGTGTGGCGGCAGTAGCTGTAGATGGATCACCCACCCCCTCAACCTCCCCCTTACATGAGCCGCCAACCCCGCCACTCCCCCTCCCCCAGCCGTCCCCTTCGGGCCACACCTCCTCCCCTTGCCGCTGGAAATGGAGCCGGAGATGGGGTTGGGGCGGCAGATGTCGGTGGGGGGGGGCGGGATCTGGGGCAGAACGGCGGTCTAGGTGCATGTAAGGGGTGCGGACGGGTCTTGCGGACGGGGGCACGGACGTTGTGCATGGTGCGGATGGCGTACGGGCGGCGGGCGGGGTGCGGGGTGCAGGTCGCGGACGATCTGGCGCGTGCAAGGGCGTAGTAGCAGCTTCTCCCGCCACTCCCTTCACAGCAGTTGCGAAGTCGACGGGAGGGCGGGCGGGGACCTGGCGACGGGCAGCGGAGAGCGTACGGGTGGCGGGGATCTGGCGACGGGCGGCAGTGCGACGGGACGGGCGACGGGCTGCAGCACTGGATATCGCGCGGGCGGCGGGATGCAATTGCGGGTAGCGCGTCGGCGACGGGCATGCTGGCGGGTTCGTCGGCAGGCTGACTCGTGCGCTGGCGGGTCCGTCGGCGGATTTGCTGACGCACGCGTTGGCGGGTCGGCTGGCTCGCTTGCTGGCGGGCTTGCGGGTCCGATGGCGAGCTCGCTAGCGGGTCCGTCGGCGGGTTCGTCGGTGGGTCCGTCGGCGGGCTTGCTGATGCGCGTGCTGGCGAGTCCGTCGGCGGGTCCGCTGGCTCGCTTGCTGACGGATCCGCGGATCTGCTGGCTCTCTTGCTGGCGGGTCCACGGGTAAATTGGGGTCGTAACGGTAGGGCGCAACGAGCGCCCTCGCGCAAGTCGTCGTCGCTAGCGCAGCAGCAGCGGGACAGCGAGCCGGTGGGACGACGGGCGAGCGGCGGGTGGGACCAGCGATGCGCGTAACGGGTTGCACAACGGCCCGATCGACGGGGCGCACCATAGCGACAGACGGTGGTGGGCCCATTGACTTAGGTGTAGGATCTTAGTAGCTCGATACCATGTTACAATACTAAGTTAACTAGAGTACGGGTTTAACTAAGGGGCCTAGGCTTAGTAGCCTAGGCCAAACGGGTGTCGAGTAGTTTGTGCCAAGGAGAATTGAGAATGGTTGTTGGTTCATTATAGCACACGAGTACATATAGCAGCCTAACAAAGATGAAAGAGGTGCACCACCATACAAGGGAATTACACAGCAGCTACACTACAGGCAGATTATACTAAAAATATATAAATCTATTGTGACAGTCTGCTCCCCTACCGCACTGCTCCCCTTCCCCCACCGCCGCTCTTCCTCGCGCCAGGTCCCCCCCGATAGACCCCCTCCCCCCTCAGGGTCCTGCCCCTTCAGGTGTGTCCCAGGTAGACGCAGTCAAGCCTGTCGAGATAGCTGTTGACTCTCGTGCTGCTAGGGGTGCTGAGCCTGCGGGTACCGGGTCTGGGGGTGCTGAGCCTGAGCGTGCGGAGCCTGGGGGTGCTGGGTCTGGGGGTGCTGAGCCTTGGGTTGCTGAGTGTGGGGGTGCAGAGCGTGAGGGTGCTGGGCCTACTCGTGTGGAGTCTGGCGGTGCTGGGCCTAAAGGTCCTTCAGGTGCTTCGTCCCAGCGGGAGCTACTCTCTCCGCAGGAGCTGCGCGAGTGGTTTGCTCGGCGCTGGAGCCGTGCTGCTGGAGCTGGTGGTGCTTCCGGCGCTGGAGGTTCTGCTGCTGTTAGAGGTACTTCTGCTGCTGGGGCTGGTGGGGGTTCTGGAGCCACGGGTCCCGGAGGTGCTCGTACTGGAGGTACTGGAGCTGCTGGGCCTGGTGGTGCTACTGGTGCTGGAGCTGCTGGCGGTGCTGGAGCTGGCGGTGCTGCTGGAGTAGGTGCTGCTGGAGGTACTGGAGCTGGAGCTGCTTCGTCTTCAGGTGGTCCTGCTGGAGCTGCAGCTGCTGGAGGTGCTGGAGCTGGAGGTGCTGCTGGAGCCGGTGCTCCTGTGGGTGCTAGAGTTGGCGCTACTGGAGCAGCTGGTGGTGTTGCTGGAGCTGTTGGAGCTGACGTTGGGGGTGCTGGTGCTGTCCCTGCTGGTTCTGGAGGTGCTATGCGGCCGCGACCGTACTTCGTTCCGCTCCTTGAGCAGGTTCTTGGTCTCCTGCCTTCTACTGGTCTTGCTCCTTCCTTAGAGTGTCCACCGCTTGTCCAGTCCGAGCCACAGTTATAGCTGGCCTCCCTGCTGCAGGCTCCTTCTCCCTACACTGGTCCTACTGGAGGTCTTGCTGAGCGTCGTGAGCCTGAGTCTTGTCCTGCAACGCCTGTTTGTGCTGCTCGAACTGGTCGTCGTGTTCCACGTTAGCGTCCTCCTGCGGTCCCAGACACGCACCAGATGGCACTGCGTCCTTCCACTGCTCCACTTTCGTGTCCCTTTGCCGTCTCCTCCAGAGTCCTCTCTTCCTGCTCTTGCTGACCCGGAGTCTGGCTCCCTTCGTGCTGCCAGTCCTACTGTCACGCGTCTCCTGGCCACTGTTGTCACTGACCCTTCCTTTGAGTCCACTTCTGCGTCTGCCTTAGTTGCCGAGCTTGTCGACTTCGCTGCTCACTATCGTCTAGACTACGCCGCTAGTCTTGTGGCTGAGTTTGAGTCTGTCTGTCCTCCGTCCGTCGGGGGTGAGTGTGCTCTTAGCACGGACGTCCTTGAGGACAAGCAGGAGGAGTTCCAGTGTTTTGCTATTGCTTTACCTCATCTCGTGTCCTACTGCTTGCCCCTGAGGGAGACTCGGATGCACCAGACATCCCGACCCCATGCTCTTACGCGGAGGCGATAGAGGGTCCCTACTCCTCTTAGTGGCAGTCAGCCATGGATGCAGAGATGGCTTCTTGGAAGTCCACAGGCACCTACGTCGACGAGGTTCCCCCACCTGGGGGGAACATCGTCAGTGGCATGTGGATTTTCAGGGTGAGGCGGCCGCTGGGTTCTCCACGTGTCTTCAAGGCGCGTTACGTGGCTCGAGGCTTCAGTCAGCGACAGGGAGTTGACTACTTCCAGACCTTCTCTCCCACCCCGAAGATGACCACTCTTCGGGTGCTGCTGCATATAGCCGCTCAGCGCGACTACGAGCTTCACTCTCTTGACTTCAGCACTGCTTTCTTGCAGGGTAGCCTACACGAGGAGATCTGGCTGCGCCGCCCACCTGGCTTCACTGGGTCGTTTTCTCCTGGTACCCAGTGGAGCCTCCGGCGGCCAGTCTACGGTCTCCGCCAGGCGCCCCGTGAGTGGCACGACACACTGAGGACTACGCTCGCGGCCCTTGGGTTTCCTCCTTCTACTGCTGACCCGTCGCTGTTTCTACGCACCGACACCTCTTTGCCGCCGTTCTACATCCTCGTGTACGTCGACGTCTTGGTCTTTGCTGCTGCTGACACTGCTGGACTCGCCCACGTGAAGTCCGAGCTGCAGAAGAGACACACGTGCACAGACCTGGGTGAACTGCGCAGCTATCTTGGCTTGCAGATCACCCGGGACAGAGCACGGCGCACCATTACCCTGACTCAGTCACACATGGTGCAGCATGTCCTTCAGCGTTTTTACTTCACGTACTCCTCGCCTCGGGCCACTCTTCTGTCCACTCGCCACTTGCTCTCAGCTCTGCCTTCGGATAAGTCCGTAGAGCCGAATGGCCCGTACCTAGAGCTTGTTGGCTGCCTCATGTACCTGATGACCTGCACTCGACCTGACCTGACATACCCTCTTAGCATCATGGCACGCTATGTTGCTCCTGGGAGACACCGACCAGAGCACATGCCTGTAGCGAAGAGGGTGTTGCGCTACTTGTGCAGTGTCAGAACATTATAGCTTACTCATTTATGTAGGCTATAGTGGGGTATCCCATAGGGGGTACAACCCAGTTAGGGTTTCCTATTTGTACTCACTTCGTTCATAGTTCACCCATTTCTCTCGTTCACTTCTTCTCATGGAATCAGAGCAGGTTCCCCTGTGGGAACTGTGCTTCGGGCCCACCACCTAGAACTTTTTTTCTGCCCTGGCGCCCGCCCTAGCGCCCGCCCTAGCTCCCGCCCTAGCGTCCGCCCTTTCGAGCCGCCCGTTAGCGCCGCCCGTTCGCGCCGCCCGTTAGCGCCGCCCGTGCGGCTGCCCGTTCGCGCCGCCCTTTGCGCAGCCAGTAGCGCCGCCCGTGCGGCCGCCCGTTAGCGCCGCCCGTGCGGCCGCCCGTAGCGCCGCCCGTGAGCCGCCGCCCGTGAGCCGCCGCCCGTCGCGCCACCCTTTAGCGCCGCCCGTGCACCGCCGCCCGTGAGAGCCGCCCGTGACGCAGCCGCCCGTGAACCGCCGCCCGTGACGCCGCCGCCCGTGACGCCGCCGCCCGTCCCGCCGCCCGCCCGTCACGCCGCCCGCCTGTGAGCCGGCGCTGCCCGCGAACCGCCCACCCGTGGGCCTTCAGCCCGCCCGTGAGCTGCCGACGCCGCCCGTGAGCAGCCGACGCCGCCGACGCCGCCCGTGAGCAGCCGACGCCGCCGACGCCGCCCGTGAGCCGCCGACGCCGCCGACGCCACCCGTGAGCCGCCGACGCCGCCGACGCCGCCCGTGAGCCGCCGACGCCGCTGCCGCTGCCGTCGCCCGTGAGCCGCCGACGCCGCCGCTGCCGCCCGTGAGCCGCCCTGGCCGCCCGCCCAGCCGCCCGTGAGCTCCCCGCGCGCCGTCCCAGCCGCCCGTGAGCCGCCACCGAGCCGCCCCAGCCGCCCGTGCGCCGCCCGAGCCGCCTGAGCCGCCCGAGCCGCCCGGGCCGCCCGCGCCGCCCTAGCCACCCGAGCCGCCCGAGCCGCCCGAGCCGCCCGAGCCGCCCGCACCGCCCGAGCCGCCCGAGCCGCCCGAGCCGCCCGAGCTGCCCGAGCCGCCAGAGGAGCGGCACTCCTGCTCCTGTCGGGCTACTACTGCTCCTGGGCTGTGTACCTGCGCCGCTGACCTACCCGACTCTTCCTGCCCGGTGAGACTGTCAGCTGCTGTCATGGCCACCCCCAATGTCCTAGCTTTTGACGCTGAGGGTAGAGCCATTGACTTTGCAGTCTGGATTGAGGACCTGCAGCTGTACTTACTGTGTGATGCGGTCGATGAGGTCTCTCTCTTTGACTTTGTCTCTGGCGCTGTCCCTGCCCCTCCTCCTGATGCTGATTCCGCCGTTCGCTCCAAGTGGGCGACCCGCGATGCTGCTGCACGTCTTGCTGTGCGTCGCCACCTCCCTTCCTCCGAGCGTGCCCACTTTAGTCAGTGCAAGACCGCTCAGGCCTTGTACGACGCTGTAGTTTCACGCTACTCCTCCCCTTCCTCCGCTACGCTGAGCCGCCTCATGCTACCTTTTCTCTTCCCTGACCTCGCTGCCTTTCCCACTGTCGCTGACCTCATTACCCACCTCCGCGCTAGTGACGCTCGCTACCGCGCTGCCCTTCCTGCTGAGTTCCGCGCCGCCAACCCTCCTCCCATGTACATCACTCTCTACTTCCTTGTCACCCGTCTCCCTGAGTCCCTTCGTGTCGTTAGGGACCAGTTTCTCTCTGTCTGTCCCACCACCCTCACTGTCGACCTCCTTGAGGAGTCCCTGCTAGCGGCTGAGAAGAGCATAGTCGCTGTAGGGGCCTCTCGGGGTGACCCTCGCACCCCCATCTTTGAGGGGTGTTCTCCTTCCCCCCTGCTGCCCTCTGTCGCCTCTGCCGCTGCGGCCGACCTCGCTGGTTTTGAGTCGGTCGGTGCGGCGTCTGCCCCCAGCGGTAGACGCCGCTCTGGCAAGGGCAAGGGGGGCAAGGGAGCGGGTGGAGCTAGAGGAGGCAGTGGCGGAGGAGGTGGGGGTGGCGGGGGGAGTGGGGGTGGCGGTGGAGGTGGTGGCGGGAGTGGAGGTACTGGTGGAGGCGGTGTAGGCGGAGGTGGCGGCGGAGGCGGTAGCGGAGGCGGCGGGGGCGAGGGTACCAG